AGATCTTGACTATTCAGCCTGTATTTTATTTTCTATATTTTTTTTTTGGCCAATATGTAAGACAGAGCATTTATTGGTTGAGATTTGCAGTTGCCATTTGTTTGACCATTCTGATCCATCGTCGCGGCCTTTTTGAAGGGTAGCAGTATTGTCTGTGGCGTTGAATAGCTTTACATCATCAGCGAAGAGAATGCAGTTGCTCTTTTTTATATATATATAAATTTGTTATTGATTTTTAAAAACAAACTTAAACAAAAAAGATAAAACATAAAAGCATAAAACATCTTTTTTGAAAGCAGCTTGATCCCGGGTCACATCTCTTCAGACACAAATTCAAATTCATTTTATATACCATTCCAATATCTTATCGCCATTCTACATTTTCTATATAGTTTCTCCCCTCTTTTAACTTTCTTCATTTTATTTTATTTATTTCATCTCAATTCAGATCATTATACATATATTCTTTGTCTGTCCTGTTTCCAGCGGTCTATTATCTTTTCTCATTAAAACAAAATTTCTCTTGTAATCACTGATTGGAGTATGACGCCTTTATATCTTTCCCCTAAATTTATAACACTTAATATAATACATAACTTCCATTCGAATTCTGCTTAGTACATTCTAAAGTTACACACTATATTTTAAAAAGGGAAAAAAGTTATAAATATATAATATAATTAAAACAACAATCCATGCCAATTCAAATCTTTGGTTAATATTAGTATTCATTTAAATCTTAAACATTTTACACATTACTTTTCAAATAAGTATCATACTTCTATGGGAACGCTTACAAACTTTCCATAGTTGCTTCCCCCCACTTCACTCATATTTTAAAACATTGTATCATTAAAATGTTCCCATTCCTTCCTAGTTCAATTCTCTCATTTATTTCATTTCATTTATTTTGTTCACAAAACTTTCACTGAGTTACACTGAGTATTTTATCCCACTTTTTAATCATATGTTATTTCCAATTTTCTAACATAATTTCTAATACAAATATAACAATACAATCTTATGTACTTTTGCAGAATCACTTTTTCAGTTAAATTTTTACCCGTTATCTCTAAATAAGTCCTGTTTCTTTACATCTTGCTCCACACCTTTGTAGCTTCTCTTCCCTTCCTTCCTCCTTTGCTTCTTCTCTCTGCCCTTTTTACCCTCTTGTCTTTCCACCTCCATTTCCCGCTTCTGTGTTCCCTTTGTCTGTTGCTTTCTAAGATTATATTCACTTTTCACCTTATTTTTCCCTTTTTGGGTTGTTTTTTTGGCTCTTAAAGTCTCCATTCACTTTCCCCCCCTTTCCCCCTTCTTCCCTAAGTAAAGTTACTTGTTTGTCAAAGATGGCTTCTTCTTTGTCCCAATCTTCTTGTTGCGTAGTCTTTCCTTGCCGTTTCTCATAGGTACAAATCGCCATTTCTAAGAATTGAAAAACGGAGCCAAGAGAGCCCTTCCCTTCTTGTTCCTCTTCTTTATATTTTTTAAATTCCATTTTCAGTTCATCCACCAGTGATGCCACTGTGAAAATTTTTTTCAAACAACCACCCAAGGGTTTTTAGTCATTCAAATATAATTTCCAAAAATCCCAAAGTCACCAAGCAATCCAAATACACACAAGGTGTTTCTTTTAGCACTTTCTTCTTTTTTCACTTTCTCTTCCTGGGGTTACTATTTAGTTACAAAGTTCCAGTTAAGATGTATCTTTTAGAAGCCTTGTTAGAATTTAATCAGATTCTTTTAAATTCCAGGCAGTCCCCTCCTTCCAAATCCTACTCATATTCTTTTCCTCTCCCTTCCCACTTACAGCAAGAAAATTTTTTTTTTTAATGTTCAGAAATCCTTATTGTCCCCTTGACATTTAATTTTCCAGTTAAATTACCTCTTGATGCCAAAGTGGGTTTTTCCAATTTCTCATTCATCTCTGTTCGCTGTCAACACAAGGAAGGAGAGTGAAAGAAAAAAAAAACGTTCCCTTTTCACTTTCGTTCGCTGCTTTCAAATCTTCTTTGGGAGCGATGTTATCTTTTATAAAATTTAAATCCCAGGATACCTTGGTTGTTGCTTCTTATCCCGGTCGGCCAAAACTTTCCCTTCTTAACTTCCTCCTGCACTTTCTTTTCCGGACGAGTGCTTCTTTGAGGCGGCCATTTCTGACCGCCGCTCGTTCGCCTTCAGGAAAGGGAGTTTAGCCAGCTGGAGAGGAAAGATGCGGCTTCCCTCGACCCTGATGGGATCCTCCCCCCCTCTTTGCCACCTCTACGGGGTGGCTTAGCCCCGAAGGGATGCTCCAGCGGCGAGCCCAGGCAGAAACCGCGGACGATCACGGATTCCTGCCTGCCGCCGAAGCCCTGCAAACCGGAACGGAATTGCTCTTTTTCTGAAGGCTGCTGAATTCCCTCCGGGCAGACAACTAAGCTAAGACTGGGAATCGAGAGCAGGGAAACAACAACTTCTTTTGACACACACACACACACACACTCTTTATCCTCCTCAATTCCAATTTCCCCGCCCACAATTCCAAAATCTGATCTTCCCGGAGGAAGGTTTTGGTCTCGCCGTTTTAATTCTTTTGTGTGCCATTTCTTCTTTTCCTACCCTGTTTCTCCAACAAGACAGCCTCCCCCAATCGGAAGTCCCAGCATGTTTTATAGGCGTGAAATGAAATGAAACATCCAAGCCGTCGCCGCCTGCCTGAAGATGCAAGGGGGGGAATATAAGTCACCCCCGAAAAGACGGCCTAGGCATTTTTTCGGGACTCAAAAAAAAAAAAAAAAGACACGGCCTTCCATCCCTCCTTCTTTCCTCCCTTCCTATCTCCTTCTCTCCCTCCTTCCTCCCTTATTTCCCTCCCTCCTTCTTTCCTCCTTTCCTATCTCCTCCCTCCCTTCCTCTTCCTCCCTCCCTCTTTCCTCCTTTATTTCCGTCCCTCCTTCTTTCCTCCCCTTCCTATCTCCTCCCTCACTTCCTCTTCCTCCCCTCCCTCCTTCCTCCTTTATTTCCCTCCCTCCTTCTTTCCTCCCTTCCTATCTCCTTCCCTCCCTTCCTCTTCCTCCCATCCCTCCTCCTCCCTTATTTCCATCTCTCCTTCTTCTCCTCCCTCCCTTCCTCTTCCTCCCCCCCTCCTTCCACCCTTATTTCCTTCCCTCCTTCTTTCCTCCCTTCCTATTTTCCTTCCCATCTTCCTCCCTCCTGTCTTCCTCCCTTCTTTCCATCACTCCTTCTTTCCTCCCTATATCCACCCTCCCTTCCTCCCTCCTCCCTCCCTTATTTCCATCCATCCTTCTTCCCCCCTTCCTATCTCTTCCCTTCCTTCCTCTTCCTCCCTCCCTTATTTCCATCCGTCCTTCTTCCCCCCCCTTCCTATCTCTTCCCTCCCTTCTTCTTCCTCCCTCCCTTATTTCCTTCCCTCCTTCTTTCTTCCCTTCCTATTTTCCTTCCCCTCTTCCTCCCCTCTCTCCTTCCTCCCTTCTTTCCTCCCCCTTTTTTCTCCCTGGCTGTTTGGGAAGAGAAACTTCCGGAGTTGATTCCAGAGTTTTGCTTTTCCCGCAGAAACTTCCAGATCGGCGCTGTGAAATTTTTCCGGAAATGTCTGGAAATATCCAAGGTAATTGGGGGAGGGGCTGCAGCGGGGGTTGGGAAACAGCTGGGGTCCTGGGTGGGGTGGGGAGGATGGGCTATGGTGGCCTCAGACTGGGGAAGTCAGGCGATTCGGGCTCCCGGAAGTCCTCGGCTTTATGATGGGCTCAACGTTTCGGTCATTAAGTGAGACATTGAAGAGAGTTTTGCCCCAAGTTATAATTTTTCCCCCACCGTTGTTAAGTGAAGCTCAGGGCTACCCCAGAGAGGAAGAGTCCAGCTAGACCTTGACTTACGACCACAATGGGAGTCCAAAATTTTGCGGTTGTTAAGTGTGACATTGAAGAGAGTTTTGCCCCCACAAGACCATTTTTCTCATTGTTAAGTGAAGCTCAGGGCTTTCGCTTGAGGGGAAGAGTACAGCTAGTCCTTGACTTAGGACCACAATGGACTCCAAAAAAATTTGGTCGTTAAGTGAGACATTGAAGAGAGTTTTGCCCCCACGTTACCATTTTTCTCACCACTGTTGCTAAGTGAAACTCAGGGCTTTCCCTGGAGGGGAAGTGTCCAGGTATCCTCGATTTACAACTCAAATGGAGTCCAAAATTTTTCATTCGTTAAATGAGACATTTGTTGAAGGGAGTTCTCCCCCGGTCGTTAAGCGAATCAGGCTTCCCCATTGAAATTTCTGCGGGTCACACACACGAACGAATGGACGGACAGACGGATGGTGGCTGCCACCATTGCAAATATGAAGCAGTGACCAAGCATCTGAATTTCGATTGGGTGATGACGGGGAATGCGTCAACGGTCGTGAGTGTGAAGAAACGGTCGTAAGTCCTTTTAGACAGATATAGATGGAGAGATAGATGGAGAGAAAGAGAGATGGATAGACAGATAGATGGATAGATAAATAGATGGGGATATATAGAGATGGAGAGAGAGATGATAAAGATAAATAGATGGAAAGATAGATGGAGAGTTAGAGATAGATGGACGGATGGATAGATAGATAGATAGATAGATAGATAGATAGATAGGTAGATAGATGGATGGATAGATAGATAGATAGATAGATAGATACATCAAGTGGCAGGAAAATCAGGAGATTTAGGCAGCTCAAAGGAGGATCAAGACTGATTGCAACCTGAAGCTCTCTACAAGAATCGGACCTACTAACGGTCGGGGGGGAAATGAGCGGGAGATAAGAAAGGCCGTCAAGGGGGGCTGGATTGAGGTCGCTCGTGAGCACACAGGGATTCTGAACTGATGGCGCCTTTGACCCCGGTCATCTTCAGTGCTCCTGACCGGTCCCCCTCCTTCTCTCTCCTCTTCCCGCTTTGGGTTTGTAGGGCCCCAACAGCGGATCGTCCTGGTGGGCAAAACCGGCAACGGGAAAAGCGCGGTGGGCAACACCATCCTGGGAAGCCCGGTCTTCGAATCCAAGATGTCGTCCGGCTCCGTCACCCAGACTTGCCAACGGGAGGAGGCCGTGGTGAACGGCTGGAAAGTGGTGGTGGTGGACACACCGGGCTTCTTCAACAGGGCTCGTCTCGAGTGGGAAACCTCAGCCAAAGAGAGCAAGTGCATCGAGTTTTGCAGGCCGGGCCCCCATGTCATCCTGCAGGTGATCCGCCCAGTCCGCTTCACCAAGGAGGAGAAGGACGTGGCGCACTTGATCAAGGAGATCTTCAGCTTGAAGGCCAAGGATTACATGATCATCCTCTTCACCCGCAAGGAGGACCTGGAGGGCAAAACCCTGGAGAAGTTCATCGCTGAAGGCAACGCGGGCCTGAAGGAGCAGGTGTACCGCTGCGGCAACCGCTTCCTGGCCTTTAACAACAAGGCCGAAGGCGCGGAGCACGAAGCTCAGGTGGGCCAGCTGATGGCCATGATTGACGCGCTGGTGCAGAAGAACCGTGCTGCCCCGTGCTACACAGAGGAGATGATGAAGGCTGACAAGAAGCACTTTACCAAAAAACCGCACTCTTCCTGGCTGTCTCCTTTCTTTTGAGGATGGATTGTCTTTTGCTCGGCTCGTCCGAGAAAGCTGAAGAAAGAAAGAAAGAAAGAAAGAAAGAAAGAAAGAAAGAAAGAAAG